CGCTGACCCGTCGGAGTACTTGTAAGACTGAAGGAATGGTGTCATATAATGCGTGACTTTTGACAATTTGGCTATACGAGAAGACTCTGTAAAACAGTGGGAATGATGTCACATATGGCGTGACTTTGACAATTTGGCTATACGAGAAGACCTTGTAAAACAGTGGGAATGATGTCACATATGGCGTGACTTTTGACAATTTGGCTATACGAGAAGGCCTTGTAAAACAGTGGGAATGATGTCACATATGGCGTGACTTTTGACAATTTGACTACACGAGACCTTGTAAAACAGTGGGAAGGATGTCATGCATGGCGTGACTTTTGATAATTTGGCTATACGAGAAGACTTTGTAAAACAGTGGGACAGCCCTTTTTGTCCTCTCCTATGGACCAGGACGACCCGGACGCTGCTCAGTTGTTTCCTTGCCGTGTTTCTTGAACTGCACGATGATTCTGTTGAATGTTGAAGGCGGGATTCCCAAATTCTGCGAAATTTGCCGCTGACTTATTCCACCATCTGCTTGACCAACTATCCTTCCTCTAACAAAATCTGACAATTCGAGAGGACCTCGAGTTATAGGCATGTTGTAGCACAAGATAATTAGCACAAGATAATTTTCATTTATATAGTGCTCTGTGAACACAAATTAGTTAGCATAAATCAGTTAAATGACGAAAAATTAGGTGTCTATTTACTTGTAACCACTCAGTGTATATTCAGTTGTCGCTTGAAACGTACTTTTTATTCTGGAACTCAAAATATCAAATGTGGAGTTTGTATTTAAGTACAAAGCTACACAATGGGCTATCTGTGTTCTGTCCACCACGGGTATCGAAACCCGGATTCTAGCGTTGTAAGTCCGCAGACATACCGCTGTGCCACTGGGGGGGGGGCGTCATACTTACCAGAAATATATGGAACTTGAGACTTTAATTTGAAAAATATAAATAGAATCGTCTTTAAAATCAGCAATCTAAAATTGAAGATTGTATGTTGAATGTGTTTTGATAAAGGTGATTTTTTAATTTACAGAAACCATGTTCGTTTGGAATTCGTACAATAGTTTTAAAAAGATGCAAACAAGTATTTTTTTATTCTCCAAGAAAACTCAAACTTTCCTTCTTGTTTTACAGTTTCTGAGCTTTGTGAGAAAAGACGAGGTTATCCAAGTGTTACTCAGGAAGCGAAAGGTTACAGTTTTCGCGCCAACAAACCAGATATTCGAGAAATCCCGAGTCTTTACCGACGAAGAACAACGAAGACTGGCCACTTTTTATGTAGGTAAGAAATGACGTGGAACAGTTTCCTGAAAACAGCTTTTCTTATTGTTTTTTTTTCCTTCTTTTTCGGTTAACTTTTCCTTACTGTCATATTTCTCAAACGTTTTGTGAAATTTGTACTTCTGAAAACGAAACTTTAATTATATTTGCTCTTCATATTCAAAGAGAGTAATTATTCTTTTTGTTCCCTCACGTATAACACAAGGGATTTTGTTCTACTATTTCTATTTTATACGTTTTGTTGGAGCGAAATTAAATTGTAGACTTCTCCTTATTGGGCCTATTATACTGTTTTTAATTAGCTCGACGTTCTCTCTGTTTTTTCACGAATGAACGATAATGGTGAATGTCATTCCATACAATTTATCAATGTTACACTGTGGAGTACATATTATTTCTTCCTCTGTTTTAAGCGACATTATTTTACGAGGTTTAATGAAACATTCCAGAGACTGGTGAATTTTTCATGACAGAAAAAAACAAAAAAAAAAAAACTGGGCATTTACATTTTTTTTTACTATTTGATTGGTAACTTCAAAGAACATCTTATTTCGAATTTTAAAGTTCCAACTCGTGCACTGATTCACAAACGACAGATTTAATTTCACTGTTAAATAGGAGTACAATGACAGGGCTAAAGACTGCGCAATAAGCTGTGTCCACTGCTGGGATCGAACCCCGAATTTTAGCGTTATAATCACTCAATCTTACCCTGAGTAACCGGTGAGCTAAATGAATATGTTTTTAATTTTTCACACGGCGTGTAAAGATAAAAGAAAGAAAGAAAAATGATAGGATTCAGGTTATTCTTAACTCTATCGATATTAACGCAACAGTTATATTTTAACCCCAACTTAATCTGTAAGTTCATTGCTCAGAATGTTGTTCAGCAGACTAGAAGACAGGAGTCTGTGAATATTCTAACTCTGAAATGGTCTAATATATACCATAATTGTGTTATTTTAACTCTATAATGGTCTAATATATACCATAATTGTGTTATTTTAACTCTGTAATGGTCTAATATATACCATAATTGTGTTATTCTAACTCTGTAATGGTCTGATATATACCATAATTGTGCATTTCTGACTCTGTAATGGTCTAATATATACCATAATTGTGCATTTCTAACTCTGTAATGGTCTAATATATACCATAATTGTGTTATTATAACTCTGTAATGGTCTAGTATATACCATAATTGTGTTATTATAACTCTGTAATGGTCTAGTATATACCATAATTGTGCAATTCTAACTCTGTAATGGTC